CAACAACAGGTAGGAGCTGTTGAGGCCTCAGTGTGTCTAAGTCAGCCTGTATAAAAGGCATTTTAAGATTTAGGACTGGGACCTGCTCAAAATAGGCCCTGTTTGTAAATGGCATAGGTTGACCATCAATACCATGTCATAGAGATTGATTTAATATAGCAACCTGAATACTCAGGAAGAACTCTGTATATATGGCCTCTATGTCCACAAATATAGAGAATGTCTTACCTGAGACTGTAGTGCGACTTGGAATCTGAGACGGACACCTTAAAGGGGGCTGTTGTTGCCCTGAACTTCCTCAGTCTTCAGCAGCGATTTTCTGTCGGTGACGAATCTGGCAGTGTCGACATTTTTTATGAGGGCTAGAACTTAGGATGGCTTACCCACTCTCTGGTGGCTAGGACAGTCCAGTAGCCCTGGAGTAAGGTCTCAAAGAATGCCAGGATGGGGCATTTTTTTGCCCAGTATCTTCTGCTGCATTTGAGCGTGGTCCATGGAGGGGGCAGGCAGCTCCACCTTGTGTAGGTTTACCTGTCTCAGAACTCCAAGTGTCACAAGTGTTAAAAATATAAAAAACCATATTAAGATCTCTATAAGGTTTGAAGGTCAAGTTTTGCCTTTTTGTTTGGGATTTGGACTACAGTACAATTAAGTAAGTATGTAGGAATTTAATATTGGCATTTTAGATTAGAGAGCAGGCTTTATCTGGATGGCATATCGCTTTTTTTTTTTTAGGGTGACACGTAGAATTAACAAAGCTTTAGTCTACCAAACAAGGCTTTAATGGAAACATTTTGCAGTAAAGGTTTAGCAATCTTATGAATAAATCAATCAAAACTGATCTAATACTGTCAAATTCTGAACACATTTACTTTTAAAGTTGTTATTTGCAGTAGTATGAACCAAGACAAATAAAATAAAACTTTGAAGAAAACCCTTGTCTTGAAATAGAGCTAGTGGTTCCCAGCAAAAAGGAATTTATAACCTTAGTTGTTAAACAGGAGATTGGTGAAGGCTTTGATGGATAAACAAGGCTGGTAAAATTATCAGGTGGCCAATAACCTTGATTAAATGGTTTGAGAATTGTAATAAAAAAGCATCTTTTGGGTGGAGCCAAATTGTAAAAAAAAGCATGGCTGAGCAGAGCCGCTGAGCTGCTGTTTCTCGGCGCTCCGGCAGAGCACGCCCAGTGGGTGGGGCAAGCGCTGGGATGTGGCGCGCAGGGGCGGGCTCAGACTGCCCCCGGAAACGTGTAAGGTGGCGGCGGTGACGAGGACGGCGCATGGGGGAGGGAAGGGCTGGGACGGCGCATGGGGGAGGGGCTGGGAGGCGGCCCAACACAGTGTGCAAAGCTGGAACTGCTCGAAGGGCGCAAGGATTAGAAAGCCAATTTAGGAACACAGCTGGGTTTTGATTAGCTTCCTGGACCTGTTTTAAAAATTTGTTATAGTTAGTATGCTTGTCCTGCTCTGGCACAGCTATAGGCCCAGAGTCATTATAAACGTCCTTAAAATGTAAATCATAATTAGTAATAAATTTAAATTGCCTGATATAATTCTGTGGGTCAACAGAGAGGCTACCTAATTTAAGGGTAATCTGGGATAGATCAGAAAGGGAAAAAGGCACATGGATGTTAACAAGTTCCTTGGGGCCAACTTGCTCCCGAAGCGGTAGCAGAGCCTGAGGAGGTTCTGGAACAGAGGGCTTTTGAGCAGCCATCCTTCCGATAGGCGCATGTGAGCAATCATCTGTAGAGCGGCTACAGAGCTGCTGCCGGTCACCCTGGGAAACACGAGCAGATGGCATCTCACTGTGTGCCTTGCAGCTAGAGGACTGCTGTCGGCAGCACAATGAAGCGTCATGTGCACTGCAACAGGGCGGCTGTTGTAGTTCACAAGAGGAGCCACAAGGAGACGCCTGTTGACAGTGAGGGTCCTGGAAACATGGCGGCACCCTGTCACGTGACCCAAAACATGGCGGCGCCCTGTCGCCATGTGGCCCTCCGGAACATGGCGGCGCCCTGTCACCATGTGGCAGAGGGTTGCAACATGGCGACTGTTCCCCACGCAAGCTGGAACAATCACGAGACCTGCTGGAAGGACATAGCGAGCGAGACCTAGTATGGTGGGCGGGCAGTGAGAATGCTGTAGGGGATATAGAATTCTCAGGAGAGGAAGTCGGAGACTGCGAGGAAGCGCTAACAGAGGGATTAAAGCTGCTGGGAGAGTTATGGGTCCCTGGAGACTGAGGGGGAGAGGATTGAACATCGGGAGATAACTGCGACACAGAGGGATTAGAGCTGCTGGGAGAGTTATGGGTCCTGGAAGGCGGAGAGGGAGACGATCGTACAGTGGGAGGTATCTGCAATGGAGAGGGATTAGAGCTGCTGAGAGAATCAGGCATAGGGGAAGGAGAGCGCGGTCCGGGGGGAGGTAACGGCAGGGAACGAATTTGGTGGTAGGCAGGCGGTGGCTGGGAAAACGGAGGGCAGGACGGAAAAGTTTGTGGCGCAGTAGAGTTAGCTAAAAGTATCTCAGCTGGAGCACAAGACTTAATGAGAGATGGGCGTGTTCTCAGAATAAGAAAGGCTTGGACATAAGGGAGTTCTAATAACTTGTTGCCAGCTTGACAAAAATCGTACAAGTTCCTGAGAATGCAGGGGTCAAATGTTCCTTGCTGAGGCCAAGGCTTGCCGATAAGCGGGTAGGTTGGCCAGACCTCCTGGCAGTAAAAAGTTAGTTGTTTAGTTTTTATGGTACCTTTAATTTTTAGAGTACGTAAATTAGAAATTAGGCATCGTAAAGGCGTCTTTTGGGAGTTAGAAAATACGTTCCCCATGACTGATTCAGGCAAGAAAAAAAACCGGAGGTCCAGAAAAAAGTCGTCACTTATTTGTGGTACCACGCGGCGGCTACGGGGTTCCAAACCGTAAACTCCAGTCGTCACTGAGAGATTTACGAATGGAGTCTACGTGGGGTCAGTAACAGTTTTGCCCGTGAAAGCGCAAGGCTTTAAGGGAAGTGAGGCATTCTTTCAGTGTGGGCGGTCCCAAAAATCTCTGCTTTGGGCTATCTGAACCCAAAGAACGTGAGAGATTTTGTGGGCGCAGGTTTGCCCAGAAAGAACCCTGCCCTGGGCGGTCCTAAGGACGTGAAAATGCACAGACCCACGCAGACGGGGAGAACATTCCACTGGGGCTGCCCAGTGCGAAAAGTTCCCCGGGGAGTGCTCACCTGAAATCAGTCTGGCCGATGCGGAGTGCAGGCGGCTGGCGACAGGAACGTCTCGGGAGAGGAAAAAGTTCGGGATTAATCCAGGATGTTATCTGGTTATCAGCGAGGAAACTCTGGGTATGTGGCCCAAGAGTTAGTTGCCTGCCGATCGAGTCACGGCACCAAATGATAGAGTTATTTCCAAAAGATGAAAAATATTAACAAAAGATGAGAAATATAAAATAAAAAGCGGCCTTTATTCTGAGAACACGGAGAGAGATGACCGGCACCCCACCGCTGGCGTCCGGCGATCTCTCCGGCGGACACGTGGCGTGGGGGCCTGTAAATAACCTCGGTTTGGGGTGGAACCTAAGGCGGGCATTAGGGATACACAGGTAGCCCATTGGTCCTAGGTTTGGCGCCATATGTAAATTCCCAGGGGTGGGAAGATGGCGTCACAGGTAACTTCCTAGGGGCAGGGCAAGATGGGGCTTCCTGCTTCCAGTTGTGGCTTTCCTGGCTACAGTGTCCTGTCTGGGCCAAACCTTTCATCATGGAGTTATCAGGGGACCTGCGCTGGAGACGAGGGCAGCTAGGGAGAGGGGCCGCCTGAGCCAGAGCCATGGGCGGGGAGCAAGGGCTGAGGGGCAGCCAGACCCTGGAGGGTGGAGGATGGAGGAGAACCCCACAGGCCACCAGGCAGGAAGCTGTCCCAGGACACCACGCTGAACCAAGCAGAAGCTAGCCTGCCTGGCTGTGCTCCCAGAGGAAAGGCCAGGTCTTCTGCTCTGCCCTGCACAGCCCAGACTCTCTTGGAGACCTGGGGTGACCCTCCTCCCCGCTGATGGCACAGGTTCCATGGGCTGCATGGGGGCTCAGCTGGGACATGACTCCCAAAGAGCAGGGCCAGCTGTGGGGAGCCCTCCCCTCTGCAGCTTCGCTTCATGCAATGGGAAACAAAGGTATTCTTAAGTTGTACTGTATTGTCCTTGCAGCTTCTGTAAATCAAAGTCAGGCTGAGAGAGACTGGGGCACCCTGACCGCCATAAAATCCTCAGTGAGCAAATGACACTTAAGATCCAGAAGCCCAGAACAGAGAGCCAAAGGGAAGAAGCTTCCCTAACTGTGAAGAAAAGAGGAACAGCAGGCAGGAAAAACCAGAAGCAAAAAAGCCGGCAGGATGGGCGGGGCTCACAGAGCCAAACTGCACCACACCGGCTCTGATGGACAAAGCAAGGCAGAAGGGGTAACTGTAGACAGCATAGAAGAAAATCTCAGCTCCAGGGGGGACTGCAGGGGTAGCAACACCAGAGGGCAGTGTGGTTAGACACGGGACCGCAGGGGTAGCAACACCAGAGGGCGGTGTGGTTCACGCAGTCCCCTCAGGAAGAATGGGTCCCGAAGAGCTCCCAAGAGCAAAACCAGACAATCTCAAACCAGCAATGACTGACCAACCCCAGGTGTCCCCACTGAGGTAGTGGCCTGGGGCCCTGGTGTGATGGGACCGAACTCCTCCGGCCCAGAACCAAGCACCTTCCCCAAGCCCAGCATGGGGCGTGGCAATGGCAGCTCTGGGCTGGGATCCTGAGCCTGACAAGAATAAGACAATAAGAGCACCAACCACTCCAGAGAAAGCTTGCTGCTAACACACAACTAAAAATTATCATGACACCAGCAAGATAGGGTGCATTGAAACCCTTCAAGGGATTTACAGTGTAAGGCAAGACAGGTGCGATTTGCAGGGTTTGAGGAAATTCATGCATGAAGAAAGAGGAGGAAAAGGTACTTGAGAGCGTTTGATTTCATCATGGAGAGTATTTGTGCGAAGTTTGTGTCTCAGAAAATAAGCAAAACCCGCTGGCGACCGTTGCCTGCCGGGAGCCTGCAGACCACAGAGACTTTTGCTACGGGATCTTGGGACAATGAGGACAATTATGTTTCACTGTGGTCTATTGGAGATTTTGGAAATCTGGACTCTGATGGAGGGTTTGAAGGAGACCATCAATTATTATGCGAAATCAGACATGGTGGTGATGTCATGGATTTACAGTTTTTTGACCAGGAAAGAACTGTGGCTGCTTCATCAACCGGATGTGTAAGAGTTTTCCTTCACCATACAAACCATCAGACCTTATCAATCCACCAGCAGCGGAACAGCCCATCACCACACAGAGTCTTACAGTGCCCATAGAGGTGCACCATGCACAGGTATTGTGTGTGACAACCCAGAAATTGTCACAGTTGGAGAAGATGGTCGAATAAATCTCTTCAGAATTGATCACAAGGAAGCTGTAAGAACTATAGACAATGCAGATAGTAGTACACTCCATGCTGTAACTTTCCTTCGAACTCCTGAGATTGTTACAGTAAATTCAATTGGACAATTAAAAATATGGGATTTCAGACAACAAGGAAATGAGCCTGCTCAAATATTATCAATGAATGGTGACCGAGTGCCGCTCCACTGTGTGGACAGACATCCCAACCAGCAGCATGTTGTAGCGACAGGTGGCCAGGATGGCATGTTGAGTATTTGGGATGTCAGACAAGGCACAATGCCTGTATCTCTGCTAAAGGCTCATGAAGCTGAAATGTGGGAAGTTCACTTTCATCCATCCAAACCAGATCATCTATTCACTTGTTCTGAAGATGGATCCCTCTGGCACTGGGATGCCTCCATAGACATGCCGGAGAAATCCTCACTCTTTCACCAAGAGGACGATCCAGTACATTTCTGTCTCAGAGCATTAGTAATCAGGCTAATGTTCACCAGTCTATGATAAGTTCCTGGCTCAGCACTGATCCTGCAAAAGACCGAATTGAGATCACAAGCTTGCTTCCTACCAGGACTCTGTCTGTGAACAGTTTGGATGTTTTAGGTCCTTGTCTTGTTTGTGGAACTGATGCAGAAGCCATTTATGTTACCAGACAACTATTTTCATGAAAAGACTGTAAATATGTTGTCAAGTAAACATGACTGTTTAAATTCTAACTTCTGTGTAAACCACTTCAGTGTTGGAAAATGCAATATTTGCAAGGGACTTATGAGTAAGTTACTATTCATGTGGGTGCCCAGTTTTGGCTTCTCTCTCTTGGATTCGCCCACAGTAGCTGCAGGGTCTGATCAGTGATTAATGCAAAAGATTTTTGAACATGTGGAAGAACATTTGGGGACCTCTGTCCTAATAAATACACTGATTTCAAAACGACTATCATTGACAGGTCATGGAATCAACTTTTTGATATAGAATTTAACAATGTCAAACCCAGTAAGTTCCTCTAATTTTTTGTCAGTAGTGAGTAGAGTATACCTGCCATGGTAGCTTTCTAATATTAATGTTTATTCCTTTTTTCAAAGTATTTTTTTCAATTCTTCCAATTTTTTTTCTTTCTTTTTTTGGGGGAGGGAGGGTCAATGCTGGAGATTGAACCCATGGCTTTCCGTGTGCGGAGCAAGCACTCTAATGAGCTAAATCCTCAGCCTGGAACTTGTAGAGGCTGAGCCCAAATCAGGGCTTTTGCACTTAAGCTATATGCTAGACTCTTTTTTTCTTTTCATTTTAGACAGTGTTTCACTTCAGTCTCTTAGGTTTCCCAGCTAGGGTTGAATTTAAGATCTCAGCCTCCCAAAATGATGGAATTACAGGGATGTGCTACCATGCCAACTTGGAGGTTTTTTCGTACGTTGTGAGAATGTGCTTTCTGTATACATGTTTGGGTCAAAATATAGCAATTGTGGGGATAGGATTATATAGTTCAGTGATAGAGCCCTGGGTTAAATCACCAGTATCCCCCTGACCCTATCCCCTAAAAAGGATAATTAGTCACTAAATTCCAAAAAATTGGAGAGGAAAACATTGCTATAGAAATTTTAGTCTGTTTATAGATATATTATTGGGACTGATCTTTAAAGATCTGTTTTCACAAAAATGGTTCATTACAGATACTATTGTATAAAACAAAAGAAAAAAAAGAAAGAGGAGGAAAAGAGCAGAGAGGAAAAACATTAAATTCCTTGCTTTTCATAAAAAGGAACCTAAAGAAATTGTTTAGATTTTTGTTAGTAGATAAATGTAAGTTTAAGACTTTAAAAGAAACCTGAAATGTGCATCAAAGTGTGATATCTGCCTTTAAATCATTCTGAAAGATTAAAAGAGGAAAATACTGGGAACCGAAAAACAAAACAGAGGCGATAACTCAGCAAGGAGTGCCGAAGAGGAGGGAGCAGAGATAAATATTAGGACAGAACTCGTTTCAAAGCTACCATGACGATTACTGAGATGTAAAGGATGTTTGATCACTAAAAAGGAAATACTCCCAAGTCTCACCGCCTGCAAGACACATCATAAAACAGAGTGAAGAACACAAGAAGGTTCGAAATGAAAAACTGACAAAAGGCACGGATTGAGGTAAACACCTAGGGAACGAGGTTGGAATGTTGACACCAAAACAGGGAAGCAGGGTGTGGTGGGACACACCTGTAATCCCAGTGTTTGGAAGGCTAGGCAGGATTGCCAAGAGTTCAAGGTCACCCTGGGCTCCACAGTGAGTTCAAGGCCAGTTTGAACTATATAGTGAGACCCTGTCTCAAAAAACCTGAACAAACAAAAAACCTCAAAATTGAATTTATAATGAAAAGCATTCATGGTGCACTGAGGGTCATTTTGTAGTCTCCGAATATGCAAATAAATCTGGGAAGCCAATGGTAACCAACAGCTATAAGGTAAAACAGCAAGAAAACATCCCAAAGAGGGTAAATATTATAAGCACCCAGGGAAGAGATTAGGCACACTCGAAAGGCCACAATAAATCAGGCTCAAGAGGACGAGCAGGAGCGGGGCCTTCCAGAGCGGGGCACTGTGACACATTTCCGCAGCCTCCTGCTGGCGGGCGCAGAGCACGTCTGAAGGAATCTTTTAAAGTTTACACTGCTTACGCTTTCTCACTGTAATGCAATAAAACAAGCCAGGCTCTCAGAAATGTGAAGTTTTGCAACAAAGAGGCCATAAAACAACGTGCTCTTCATAATAAAGGCGACTCGACGGTGTCGCCGGAACACCCGCCCACGGGCCAGCGTGTCAGCAGGGTCAGCAGCCAAGGCAGGGTGTACAGCTGCCCTTGGGAGCCTGCGAACGGCAGCTCCGCTGAGCACAGTCTGGACCAGGCCCCGCAGCCGTGAACACCCCCAGCCCACCACCCGCCCCGCACCGCGGAGCCGGGAACTCGGAGCCACGCTGACAGATGTCCCTCAGTAGACCCTGCCCACAAGCCCCAGGTGACATCAGCGTCCCCTCACACGGGAACTACCACCAGTGTGGATCATCCGGAGACGCCGCTGACCGCTGGTAGGAGGCAGGGCCTAGTGGGGGCGGGGCCTGGCAGGTTCTGGGAGGGGCCTGGCCTTTCAGGGGCGGGGCCTGGACGGCTCCTCTCCCTCCGGCTCCTCCCTTCTCTGTTTCCTGTGCCCCACGCTGTAAGCAGCTCCTCTCCGCCAGGCCCCTGTGCCCTGCAGTCCTGCATGGAACCAGCCACAGACTGGAGTGTGACCCAAAATCAATCTCTCCTTCTCTAAACTGTGAGTGTCAGGCATTTGGTGCCGGAGACTGTGACTGAGACACCACTGCACCCCTTCTCCATCCTTCTCTGTGATCCAGGAACTCTGGGCTCAGCTGTTGTGGGCTGTACTGTGATCCCCAAATTCAAAGCCCTGTCCCAGGACCTCAAGATATGAAGGTTCTTTTCTGGAGATGGAGCCTTTATAAAGGTAACTAGGGCAAGGCGACTGGGGAGAAGGGGGAGGCCTCAGATGGCACTGGAAGCTGAGAATGGGGAAGGAGAAGGGACCAGCCCTGCAACTCCAGCCCTCCTAACCTGGACTGTGGCCTGCAGAGCAGAGGGGCAGTGAGTGTGGTCTGAGCCAAGGCTGTGACGCTACCCTGTGACAACCCCAGAGAATGGCACACCAGCCAAGCAAGCAGGGCCAGGCTGTGCCCAGCAGGCCACAGGCAACAGGGCCAACCAGCCTGTGCCTATCTCGAGGCCTGCAGCGCAGCGTGCATGGCCGGATAGCCAGGACAGTGATTGCTAAGTGAGTGGTAAGAAGAGGAGCGCCTGGGACTGCAGCCTGAGGGACACTGAGGGAGATTTAAATAGTGCTGTTGTCCAGGCACTGAACAACATAATGATGGTGCAAGCCTGTGATCCCAGCACTCGGGAGGCTGAGGCAGGAGGGTCACTGCAAAGCCAAGGCCATCCTAGGCTCCATAGTGATTTCAAAGCCATCTTGGACTACATAATAAGCAAGACTCTGTCTCAAAAAAAAAAAAATCAAAGGAACAAAGAATGCTGTAGTTATGATTCTGTCCTATAGGAGTGGTTAGATCTGGCAAACGCACCCTTGAAAGAGAGAGGATAAAGCAAATCATCAAAACTATGTTCCTCAAAGACCATGAGGAATACCCCTCAGGGCCCTCCCCAGTGGGCCCTGTGTCCTTCCAATGGCAGAGTTCCCCAGGACAGGACACGGGCCCCACCAGCACTCGCATGGGGAGGAGAGGGCATCCCTGGGGACACTGTGTTGCCCGAGAAGGGAGCTTTGCCGGATCCTGAGCTAAAGAGGCAGGGAGAGCTCTGCCCAGAACACAGGCAGGGAGCCTGGAGCGCACACACCAGGCAGCACCATCCCACAGCACTCGAACAACGCATGGCCTGACACGACATGCACCACTCCTCACACACTCCACACTTGCACAGGCTGGGAGGAGCCCCAGGACCCCAGGGACAGCAATGCCGGGTGCGCGCCTGTGGACAGGGACCATAGGCAGCTCCCTCCTCACTGCCACCTGAGAGCAGCTCACTGAAAAGCGGAGCACAAGCCCAGGAAGAGACGGCCAGCATGCAGGCCAGTGCTTGACGAGGCTAAGTGAGAGGGAGGAGAAGGAACAGGTTTAGGTGGTTGCTTTGGTGGGCAAGAGAATAGATGATGGGCCATAGGTGAATGGATGAGTGGGTGAGTGGATTTGTGGATGGGGGTGGGGGATAGGGGGTGGAAGGGGGTGGACACGCAGGTGGATAAGGACACGGGTGAATGAGACGCAGGTGGGGGTCTGGAGCTCAGTGCTCACCAGGTAAAGGGGCACTTGGCGGTGAATCAGAGATGGGCCCAAGTGGGACTCTGATGCATTTGTCCACCTTAGCACAGTGTGGACAACAAGTCTGCTCTGTCCACTGCACGTGATCAGAGGTGAGGGGGAGCTGCTCCTCCCACAGCGGGGACCAGGGGGCACCGACAGGAGACACCAGGGAGGCGAGGCCGGCCCAATCTCACCTGCTCATGTTTAGCAGCTGTCTGAGGTGTGGGTGTGAGAGTTCGTGTGTGTGTGTGTGTGTGTGTGTGTGTGTGTGTGTGTCTCAGTGTGCATCTGTGTGTGAATGTACTGGGGGGAGTGTTGCACACCTGCACCCTCTCACCTCATGACTGGGACACTTCCTCTCTATTCTCTCTGGGTCTTGTGAGTGCCAGGCTGAGTGTTTCACGGCAGTTTCCAGGATGGCCTGGCCATGTCCTGCATGGGGACCACACCCCCGCACCCACCCTCATCCCAGCTTGGCAAAGCCCCTCACCCCTTCCTCCTTGGCTCCCGACCTGAGCACCCCTGCTATGACACCACACACAGGTGGGTCTACAGGGTCTCCCCACCCCAGCCTGTCCATCCCGATGGCCACAGAATGCTGGGTGGGGTCCGGAGACATGCCAGGAGCTCCCCAAGGTAGCACCTACTGGCCACAGCCTGGTCTTACCTCACCCTCAGCCTCTTCCCCCCTCTCCTCCTCCAAGAAGCCCTCCCTGCTCCATGGGCCTCAGGCTGCTTTTCATATTTTGCTTTTTTATGTTTTTGTGGTGCCAAGCATCAAACCCAGGGCCTCCATACTAATCACATCCCTGGTCCTTTTTACTTTTAGACAA